GATTAATTGCGTTTTGAATGTTATAGAAGTGACTTTTTTTTGCCCCCCCCCCCCTGTATATGATGCCGACACACCCGCTTCTGTCTGTGATTGGCTGGCCCGCGCGCGCAGACAGTTACCAATGGACGTCTAGCCAGCCAATCACAGGTTAGCGGGCGTGTCGGATGTGTAACTTGGGGAATCCTTCTCCAAGTTTGTCTATGATGGACCTGAGTTTATAGCAATCCTACCTAGATGTGTTTCTCCAGCTCTGCAACTAATTTCTCAAGCACTCCGCAGTCAGATGATAATCCCATGCTGGGGAGATTTCTGTGGACGAATCACGGAGATTTTCGAGGAGGTGAGTTACTTTCCTTCATTTTCCTGGATTTTCAAAAAATTTCCTACATTTTAGTGCAAGGACATGACCGACGGATCAGTCTCCGATTATATTCCTCAATTGGCAAGACAAGATCCCGACTTGTGGGGAGTTTCTATATGCACCATTGATGGCCAACGAGTTTCTCTTGGTGACCATAAGAGCAATTTTTGCATCCAAAGCGTTTCGAAGGTGAGTGGATGGGTCTTCCTAGTTAAAAGCAGATTCAATGATAAATTGGTCGCTCGCTGGGAATGAAAGTGAGCTGCTAAGAGGAGCAGCAGTCCACAAAAAAAACATGAGAAACTGCTCAGACCAACAAAACGAGACTTCTGGTTTTCCCGTTGATTTCCACGTTGGGGTGGAGGAGTGGGGGGAGGAGTCTATCGGTGTTGACTTCGGCGACGATAACGCTCCGATATGCCCTGCAAAAATAGCTAGAAGTCAGAGTCCGATGTTGAGGGATTAACAGCAAGGGTAGCTGATAGATAGCGGGGGGTTCAGGGGCCTCAAAGGGAAGAGGAAAGCTTTGTTAGGCCACTACGGACATTTCGTTCGCAGCAAAATGGGCCTTGTTCCGGTCCCTTAGAGGGCCTGCCTCCTTTCACAGTAGCACTTGCCTTTGAATAGCAACAGTCGCAAAGCGTAGTTCAGACATTCAACTATTCAATCGTCGCTTCGGATTTGGGCCCGGATGTGGTGCATTCTTATGTCGGTCACGAGCCAAGTGGTCGACTGTTCGATGAAATTTGCCTTGATGGAAGCGGTTCGTTCACTTTACATTCTGTCCATGCCCTAAAAGCGCAAAGGTTCAAGTTATCTCATATGACTTGCTCTGATTCCATTTAATGGGAGAGGTAGAGCAAAGTGTTCCATGTAAAAGCTGCATGCTTGATCGAGCATAAGCCAACTGTTGATGGCCTTCTTGGAGGAAGGCCTATTTGATGAAGGCTAGATGACTTTCTTAATACCACCATATTGGGCGTAGAGCATGTCGATGAAATTCAAGGATATTCTTCTCTTCTTAAGCGGCCAATTTTGACAGCGCTAAGTCCGCTGCGCTTGAAATTCGTCGCTACTTTCCTTCTCTACAACACACATGTTCTGTCGCGGCCTCGCTACACTGAGGTTCTTCTTCTTTAGTGCGTTCTTCCAGTTCTTCTTAGAGACCCTCGTAATCTCTTGCCCTGAGCTTGAGATGTGGGCTTTCCTCAGGGGCATTGCACCGCAGTCGCTACTCTTACTCTCTCAGTGGATCGTGTAGTCCCGCCATGAGCGTCCCTGACCCTTCATTTTTAACTCACAGTGTATTTGATGGAGACGCAGAAGGTAGTGCTTGTGAAATCCGATACGTGTCGGGAGGGTGCGCCGAGAGATCGCACATGCTGACTACACAACAGTTGACCCCCCATAAATATCTTTCTTAAAGGCAGCGATTACGACAGGTTCTAGAGAGGTTTACAAGGAACGTGAGGGTGCTCAAGAACGCGCCAATGGCAACAAAAGCGCAGCAGATCGGTCCGATGTAAAGGAAACAGGAACTTTTTTTCCTGAAGAGGTCGAACTCAAATAGTATTTAGTACCAAACCTTAGCAAATGATGTTCCTATCACCTTTTTGTTAGATTTTTAGTATGACTCTGCCTTATCAGAAGCCATTGAGCAAGTACTGCCGTCTCGAGCTGTATTTTCTCAGAGGATAATGTCAAATCGGTATTTTAGGAAAACCCCACAACCCGATGATCAACTCTGGTGCTATTATCGTCACATCACTGATAAAGAAGGGTATGTGCATGGCAGATCGATTCGACTTCGTTCTCCGAGGGTACCGAAAGATGGCTGGAGGAGAACACATCGGCTTTGACAACGCCATGTGGGTGCTTACAGTTAGCAAAAAACCATTCCTCCCGTAATAGTATAGCTGGTCCATTACCGCACTGAGGATGGTACTCTCGTCTTGAAACCCGAGGTGTCTTACCATAAGAGCTCATTTACATTGATGTACATCTCGCACATCTGCGCATGCCCCCTCCCCCGTTGCGGACGCGTCGGTGTCTGCGTCTCATTCATCCCCATGCTTTCCCGTATTCTGCTATCTCGCTTCGGTACCCATTGTACCGTGGACTATCTTTCTCCCCACCACTACACAAAAAAGTCTTATTCCGAGAGATATAAGGGTATATTTCCTTTTTTACTGCTGTAGAGTCAATTAGCAAATATAGATCCAAATTGGAATTTTTTTGCTGGAGAGTCACTTAGTCTCTATCGACCCATATTTGAGCACATTGCTACGCTTTTCCTACCACAGAAAATGCCTTCAACCAATTGCCCACTTCAGATTCCTCTCCGAAAGAGACGCTGCCGATCGCAACTATGCGCTTTCCTATTACATGAAGGAGAATGAATGCTTCCCAGCGGGAACAAAGGTAAGGCTTAGCCGGGTACAGCTGGATGAAACGATAGGTTAGCACAGTGTTTAGAGCCTCCGAGAAGAACTCGAATTATATCTGCAACTCTGTTCGCTGGAGACAAACTGTGATACTCTGTCAGTCATGGCTGCAACGCTCGCCAATGGAGGTACGAGAAAACCTCCGAACTACACTTATCGTTAAGCATCTTTTCTCTGCATGTAGACTTATGGAAAATGAGCAGCACCTAGGTGTTTGCCCTCTCACGAATGAGCGCTTGCATTTCACCACAGCCCTGCCGAGACGTGCTCTCTTTGATGTACTCCTGTGGAATGTATGATCTCAGCGGCAAGTTTGCCTTTCAGGTCAGAAATGTCCTTAATGAGTGCAAGCTGCTTCCTAAAGGCGTACACTATGAAAAGGCTGCTCATTAGAAATCAAGGAAGATGTGGTCAGTGATGCACGGAAGAAGGAAAAAACCAAGAAAAGCGGCCCAGAACCCGAGAAATCGGACCCCTTTCGGCCCGTTGATGACCGCACTGGGGCGAGTCTTATCGGTGTTGACGACACTAGCGCGAATGCTCTGTGCTGCGCCTCTGCTGAAACCGTAGAATCCGCGGCTAGTGTCCGACGGCAAGAAGTTAGCCAGATGGTGCGTGGACAGAAGCGAGCTGCGCGATTACGGTTCTACTAGGCTGGTGGGGCATACCTTTGCTGCGAATGCGCATCCCGTCCCCTAAAGTGCGCTGGCTTTCGACTAGGTACATTTTAGCAGGTCGTGAATGGCTCTCGTGAAGAGTCGGATAGCATCGTATTTATTTTGTTTCGCTCGCTTCCTGTACAGGAGTTGAACGAACACTAACCCATTATATCTTACCAGGAAGGTCTTTCAGGGCGTGACGAGCTTTTTGAAAACGGTCTTTTGCATGATATAGGGGCAGATGCGGGACCACAGAACCATGTTTAATTTTTCCTGAACGGCCCTCTGAATACCAGAAAAGGGGGTCCCTAGTTCGATTCCTCTTGGTGACAAATTTTTGCATTTCGAGTTGACGTTCCAAAATTCGCGCAAAATGGAGTTCTGATTGTTCTGGTTGGTTCTAACTCCATTTTGCGCGAATTTTGGCACGTCAACTCGAAATGCAAAAATTTGTTACCACGAGGAATCGAACTAGGGACCTCCTTTTCTGGTATTCAGAGGGCCGTTCAGGAAAAATTGAACATGGTTCTGTGGTTCCCGCATCTGCCCCTATATCATGCAAAAGACCGTTTTCAAAAAGCTCGTCACGCCCTGAAAGACCTTCCTGGTTAGGAGGCCAAAACCGTCTGTTTGTTTATTAGTACTGATTCTACAAAACTTTTTATTACGCTTTCAGTCTTCTCTGCGGTTTTACAGTCTCTTTCACGTACTCAATTTACACCGATGGTATCACAGTCAATACAGCTAGCGCAATCAGTAACTTAACAGTATCGCATTCAGATCGGATTACCAGCGAAATCAGGGGTGTCGGGAGTAATGATCGTCGTTGTTCCAAATTTGATGGGAATCGCTCTGTTCTCGCCGCCACTCGACAAAACGGGTAACCCGAATAAAGGGGTCGCATTTTGCAAGGTATACCACCTCCCTACCAGAATATGTCTTCCACATGTATCGATTGTTTCAGAAGCTCTGACACAGTTCAAGGCTTCCAATTAGCCAGCTTTACTACGACAGACAGTCACAAATTGATCCGACGTTCGCCTGTTAGCAATCGAGACACACAAGTGTCCGTATCGCTATGTTTGCTGGCTACAAACAACTGATTGGAAGGCGATTAGAGGATTAGGCTGTTTTAAGACGTATGGGCAATGCAGGCGTGACACAGTTAAATTGGCTTGTAATATCATATTTACTATTTATCTATTTTTATTAGACTTTTGGGATGAAGTGGGTAATGCAAGCGGCGCGCTCATTCCGAGCCGCGGGGATCCTGAGTCGGTCGTTATCTACGGGTCGGTTAATTGGTACCAGACTTGTCTGGGAGGATAAAAAACACTGACTTGTACATCGGCTGGCCCCCGCAAGTCATTGTATAGGCCACATCGCATTCAAACGCCACTGCGAATGTACAAATGGAAGTAGAATGCGTGCCGCATCCCAAAAAGGGATTGATCAACGGCAAATGCTTTATCCTTTTATTATTTTCTATGTTATTTATTTAGTTATATGTATTCATGTATTTATCCGTCTATTTATTTGTTTGAGTATTGTATAGAAGTAATAAGGATAGTTGGCACAAATGGTGATTTACAATAACAACTAGAAAACAGCTAGTTAAAAGTTTGAAATAGGCGAGGACGTGCGTCCAAAGTGGGCGGGGCCAAAACGAAACTCTTCCAACGGCATCGTGACATCTCTTCGAAATAGCTGACGTCAAAATAAACAGAAAAAGAGGCCAGAGTCGGGAAAGTTCACAACAGTCAGAGAACAGCTGATTAGAAGTTGGCAGTGGGCGTGGCGTGCGCCGCAGTAGGCGGGGCCAAAATTGAAACTTTCCATGGCGCTGTATCATATACCAGAAACATGCGTATAGCATACGTAAAATTTTGGAGCATGTCTGGAATTTTCCCGAAGTCCGCCAGCAAAGGTCAAGCGAATACAGATATTGTCACAGCAACTTGACACATTGAATTGTTAGTCTTATCTAAACGATTACTTTGAGGATGTATCTTCAAGGGACGAATATGAATGTGGCCGACTATGACGGAAGGACGGCGCTGCACATAGCTGCATCAGAAGGACACGAGAAATTGGTGAAATTCTTCCTTGGTGTGGCAAGAGCAACCCTGACCTCAAGGATCGGTATGGTAAGCTCCAAAGTCTTTGACAATAGCTCATTTGATTGACGAGAATTCAGGTGGGGCAGAATCCTTGTGAGGATGCTCGACTTTTCAACCAACCACAATGTGTCCAACTTCTTGAAAGTTACTGTCCGAAGAAAAAATATTCCCTCAGCTGGTACCTTGAAGAAAGCGAAGAAGATAACAACACCAGAAACTCTGAGTAAGTCATATCTCTTATATTCAGAGGCAGAGCGCGAATCATAATGGAAAAGTGGCAGGGTCTATTGTATTTCGCGGGTTTCCAGACAGTTTTTGTTGGCATTCTTTCTCCACTGGACTATTTCCCACTTTATTTCGATTTCGAACGACGAACAAGAGTTTGTATCATTTGCTTTTAATGGCTCAGTAAATCATCTAAGTTTCAAAATAGGATATTTCAGTTCAACGAGCAGCTCTCCAGAAAGCGTCTCCTGCTACTTGCCCGACCTCGAAACAAAGACAAATAATGAAGGTGAAAATCATTTGACAACCCTAACGTAATCTCCTTCTGCGTAATAAAGCTCGTGAAAGAATCTTAACCTAATCTCTAGAATAGACTGTGGTCGCTTACGATTCTTTACACATGAGATGCAGTATAAGGACCAACGATGTGACATATTGCAGAACTCGAGCGATATCGCATAGCGTCTGCGTCGGACGGGCCAGAATGAATATGACTCAACTTGGCTGGTAAACCGCAAGCGACCGCGACGCTAGCCGAGCGCGAATTCGAAAAGTCTGACATCGGCACTAAACGAAAGATTCTGTTGGCTATAAACAACACACAACCAATCTGAATATTCTGAGATCCCCTCCACTCCAGCGAAGCTTTGAGAATCTGTGGGATTTAAATCCGAATCAAAAAGCAAGTTGGAAGGCGGAGCGGCGTATGAATGAAGTCATCCAGACCGTTAGATAAAAGGCTCCGACGCTTGGAGTGGAAGCGCCCAGCTAAGAGACATCAACAACTGCCGCAATTCCCAGCATATGTCGCTCCAAAGCAAGAATCTTCAAGACTAATTCCGCCTAATGGCATATTCGGAAAGCATAAAAATCTCGGTTTCAATAATCAATACTTGAAAAAGAGAATAAAGAAATATGTCGTTCGTAAAAAGTTATCACAATTATGATTGCCAACTCCTATTGTAAATTAATTGGAAGCACAAATGAAAAATCGACAGAAACTTAGCCAAGCCGAATGACGTGATGAAAATGAAAAAAATGGTGATAGAATTTGCCTTTTCGAGACTGGCATGCATCTTTATCTCCCATAATTAGAAACTAAGCACCATTCGATGATGCAATTAGCTATCAGATAATAGCTGCAAGCTAAACTAACAATCGCCAGCGAGTGAGTAAGAATTTTTGCCGTCATCTAGTCTTAGTATCAAAAGGCTGTAGGAGAAAGACAAGAACGAAAAGATATTACCAATTGGTCTGGAGGTGAGGGATCGGATCCAGGATTTTAATTGTGGATCTTGCGCGTTTTTAGACGGAGCCACTTGTCAAAACACTATCCAAATCCAGTCCAGGGTCCAGAAAATGAAGGTAATACTGAACACAACAGCCTTTTTTCAACACAAATTGTAGATTCGAAAGAAAAACATCGAAGGAAAGCGTCCACTCAACGCACTTCGCTCGACGTCGATGGTAGAAAGCCACTACTTCAGTGATAAAAGTCAACAGTGATCAGTAGTGTATCAGCTACATCAGAACACTTCGGGAATCACATTTGGTAGCTCAAAACCTACTGATAATTGTTGTTATTGTACATTTTCTTTCATGGTGAACTCTCGATATTTGTGAAAAGAGTATTTATACAATAAACGATTCTTCCCCTTCCTATGCTAGTGTTAGTGCCGCCAGTCGAGAGTTTCGCTGATCTATACAGAAACGGGATAACAATATTATTTATTTATTTATTTATTTATTTGTGCTTGAACACGCCATGAAATCAAAGTATGTGAAATTAAAGTAAAGTATGTTAAGTTAAAAATTTCAACGATGCTATAAAAATGTCAGTAACAAAACCAGTAAGTAAGCCAACAACCTGAGTTGAGTCCACTAGCCTATCTGCGAGCCACAAGAAGAGACGCATGAGCTTGTCAGCCAAGCGGTTCGCAGTGTTTTAGTGTAAAGGAGGAGCGTAAAGGGGCATAGGCACTTGAGTTTGAAAACGAGGAAAAACAACCGTAATAAGAGCTTTAAAGGAACCAAATATTACGAGTAGGGCTCGAATTCGACAGAAAAGAAGATTTTGAATTTAAAAAAGATGATATTATTTATCGTTGGACGTAACTCATTGGATTATTTTAATTCTTGTAGAGACTCGAGAAATAATATAAAATTCAAAACTAGGCACAACTTACGCCTAATGACTCTACTAGGACTTCGAGTAAATTGTCCAATACGATACCGTGAACTCATAAATATGAGACTCTCTCTACTGCTTCATTTCCAAGTTATAATATGAGATAATCTATACCCTTGGCCATGATCATGCCCCCAATATGATACACATGATGATAAATATTAGATCCTATTGCTGATTTGGGGGGAGGGGAGGGGAGGAGGAGGAGGGGAGGAGGAGGAGGAGGAGGACATTATGATGCAATGGCTAGAGCCGCCTAAAGTTATCCTAGTTATCCTTTGGCAGGAGCAGAAAACTACAGGTAGCTGTGAAAGCGAAAGCGGGACGGTTCGTGCACCCAGAGCTTCCTTTCCTGCCATTATGGCAGGGTGAATATCAGTCGAGGAATTCCTCGATCATGGCTTTCTACTGTGCGAGAATAGTGTCGAGAGTGAACGTACGTGGAAGGACTCATTGGTCTGAGCGATATTAGGCCCGGGATTTGGTCACCATCGTGCGCTGCTGAGGCACCACTTGCCACCACATGACCTGCTGCTCCCAGGAAAAACCATTTTAGGTAAAAAAAATGGATGTTTCGGCAATCCTCTATCACATTAGGTACCAATCCCTAGAAAAGGACCAGGTACTTGAATGCCGACACGTCGGAATTGTTTCCTTTTCTTAAATACGAATCGACAAAGCAACTCTCTGCTCTCTTCAAAGATTGTGCATTTACACTTTGAAAGCTTTTATACACAAAACGGTGGTTAAATGAACATTCTCAAAATTACGTAAAATCATCTACTCAACACTTTGAATGACGTGCACAGATGAAATAAGGAAGACACGGACCAGACAATGACAGTACAGGCGCAAAGAATTCATATGAGACTACAAGAACACCGATTTTATAAAGATCATTACCCACAAAAATAAAAGCTGCGCTTCCGACCACAACCCGGGTTCTTCAAATACCTACATGACGCAGTGGTCAAATATATACAAAATGACTGGCATGGCTTACGTACAAGGGTGCTTTGGATTCAATTCTAAATACAACGACACAATCACATGCATTAACACTAGAGGAACACGCAGACGGGTGTTCCCGAGAAAAAAATTACAAAATCTGAATACTTCCACAATTCTTACAGGGTTAGCTTCCGTAGTGAAAATCACATTCACAGTACTTCATGCATGAAGTACGATTAGCTCATCGAAATCGTTATGTGTACATAACTCGCATTGGATTATATGAAAAATTGGTGTTAGCATAAGGAACAAGTTGTGAGCATACATATGTAAGAAAACATCAACTTATTCAAGATGTTCCTTGGGTGGCAGGTGAACAGGCGAGGTCTTGAAGGGATTGCTGAGTGTGTGCTGTGAGCGAAGACAGAATTGTTGAATCCACCGGCTCCAGACATGACGGGCATGTGAAAGATCTAAGAATTAGGAGCTGCTATATAACTAATATAGTGCCAACGAATGCGATGAATACTGTAGCTGTTGAAGGTTTTAAAAAAGAAAATTAAATCTATCATTTCGAAACATTCAAGGCGAACAACCTTGACTCAAGTCGAAAAGGATGAAGTCGCGCTCATACTTTGCGACTGCTTTTTACCTCGTTCGGAGCTTGGATGGATTAGATATGTACAGATCACGCAAACACACGACTGCGCGATCGACAAGTATCACGTCCACACTCAAACTGCAAGACGGTCGCTAATTGTGACCGCCACCCAAAAATGCCCCAGAACTTAAGCCAAGGTGATCTGCTCTACTATGTTGATACCTCTTGACAAT